CCTTCCTTAACTTTTTCTCTTATACCCTCCATCCATCCATCAGCAAAGCCTGGTCCCTCAGCCTTCAAAATATGACCAAAATCTCAACACTTTTTACCACTTCCATTGCTAGCACCTGGCCTCAGCCACCATCATCTTCTGCTTGGTCTATTGCATTAGCCTCCTAATTCACCTCCCTGCTTCTGGTACATCAGGGTGATTGTGGTAAAACATAAATCAGATCATATCACTCTTCTGCTCAAAATCTTCCAAAGTCAGTTAAAAGCCAAGATCCTTGCGATGATCTACAAGACCCCACACATCACATCTCTTACTACCATTTCTCTCACTCAGTCCTGGCACACTGACCTCTTTGATGTGACCAGAACCCACCAGGCAAGCCCTCAGGACCTTTGCACTTCCAGTTCCTCATGTATCTGCATGGTTTGCCTCTCTCACCTCCTTTAGGTCTTTACTCAAATTTCACCTTCTTAGTGTAGTCTTCTCTGAATACCCTTTACAACCATCTACTCCCACCCATGCCACACTCTTTATTCCTTATCCTTTTTCCTTATTTTTCTCTAAAACACTTATTACCGTAAAATATCATATATATTAATTTATTTTTGCTTATTTTCTGTATCCCCAAACTCATTAGACTCTAAGCTCCATGATAACTGGGTTGTTTTGTTTACGCTACAGTCAGTAAACTATACCAAGCACATAGTAAATGTTCAATAAATATCTGTCAGGCACCTAAGCACACTAACCACATTTTTTTCTTTGTTTCTTGTTTCCCAATCATCTTACCATCCAGCATTCAATCAGTATTCAGCAGAGTGAGATGTCAAGGTGAATTTTTTCTTAGACATATCCTCTTAGTTATACTTCGGGCTAATTCAAGTTCAGTGTGATTTTAGATTTTTGTACAAATGAACTACAAAATTCAAGTTCAGTGTGATTTTATTATAGATTATTGTATAAATGAACTACAAATTTTTTGTATATTTAACTTGAATATTTCTACCTTAAATAATGGCAATTTTTTAATACACTATTATTTATTGAGTATCTACTATACACCAGGAGTTCTAGAAGCTATTGTATTCTTAGCATACAGTTAATATACTAAGTAGAGAACATTAAATCTTGTTCTTTACTTAGTATATTAACTGTATGCTGTTGGTATCTATCTATCTATCTATCTATCTATCTATCTATCTATCTATCTATCTAGAAGGCTAAGTGACCATCACAACCAAATGGATGACTAAACAGGCTGTGTGGGGCGATCAGACCAGAAAGGGGAGGGCAGTTGGGGGTGCCCAGGCTGGAGGGTGAGGAGGGGAGTGATGAGCAACCTGGCCGGCAGAAGTTGGCAGTGAGGAGGCGACCAAGCTGGCGGGAGGAGGGGGGAGAAGTTGGGAGCAAGCAGCCCGACAAGGGAGTTAGTAAGCGGGGATCAGGCCAGAGGGGGAGGGGGGGCAGTTGGGAGCAACCAGGCCAGTGGGGGTGACTAGGCCAGCAGTGGGGGGGCAGTCAGGGGCGATAAGGCAGGTAGGCAGGTGAGCAGTTAGGAGCCAATGGTCCTGGATTGTGAGAGGGAAACCTGTGCATGAATTTTCTGCACCAAGCCTCTAGTAGACAATATGTGTTGGTTAGCATGTAGAAAAATTGGAACCTATTGTTGATGGGAATATTAAATGATGTAGCCACTGTGGACAGTTTGGCAAAAAGTTAAATAGAATTACTTATGGCCTGCAAATGCTACTGCAGGTATATACCTAAGAAATGGAAATATAACATCCATGCAAAAACTTGTACAAAAATATTTATAGCATCATTACTCAGAAGAGTTAAAAGATGGAAAGAACTCTGATGGACAGATCAATAAAATATGACCTATCCATGCCATGGAATATTGTTTGGCAATAAAAAGGAATAAGGTTTTGATACAAGCTACATATGGAGTATTGAAAACACTATGGTAAGTGAAAGAAACCAGCACAAAAAGACCACAGAGTGTGTGATTCCATTTATATGAAACGTGCAGAATAGACAAATCCATAAAGACAGGAAGTAGATTAGTGGTTGCCAGGGGCTGAGAGGGTTGAGGGAAAACAGGAGTGACTGCTGAGAGTATAGGGTCTTTTCGGGGGATGATAAAAGTTGTCTAAAACTGACTGTGGTGATGATTGCACAAAAAACCATTGAATTGTTCTCTTCATATTGGTGGTATGTGAATTATATCTCAATAAAGCTGTTTAAGAAAAACTGTTCCAAAGGAGTGACCAAAAATGTACAGCCAAAACACACTGGGGGAAAGTGTTAAAGAGATATTTGAGGAGGTTAATTAACAAAAATATTTTGAAGGCAGTCAATAAAGAGGTGTGATTTTTCTGGAGTTGGTGATGTGTGAAGCTTGTCAACTTTTATGAATTTGTATTTGAAAAGATCTTCTCCATTCTAAATAAATATTCAGTTTTGCATAAATAAATAAATTATTCCACAATCTGTTCGGGAGGATTAAACTGTATGCATGAGTAATGCATGAGGGAATTTTAACTTCCATTTCAATTCTTTCGACCTCCAGCACCTGACATCTTGCCTACTTTATAGTTTCTCTTTCTTTCCCCAACACAACACTAGGCTCATGGGTAGAATGTGGGAAGGAATATAGTACTGAACAAATATAGACCAGCTCTTGCCTCTTTTACAGGCTGCTGTTCAGCTGGCCTGTGTACCTCCTTCCTTTTGCCAAGGTGGACCTTTGTGTATTCTGACACTGAATTTGAGCACTATTGTGATCATTTGAGCTGGGTACATGGGATCTCTGGGAGCTAGATTAGCAGAAATGGGGATTCATACTTTATTTTAAATATTTTAAAAAGCCCAACAATAGTTATACACAAAATACATTGCCTTTGTGATGAAAATGAGAAATGTATTCTACTGCTTGCTTAATTTTTGAAATGCCCCTTTATTGAACCTTCACTATTGACCCGGAGCTGTACATAATGTGTCATGCTAATCACAATTCTGCACGTTATCAATTATCCTCATTTTATAATCGAGGAAACAAGAGGTTCAGATTACAGTATCTATTCCCAGGTCCCTTAACTAGTAAACTCATATACATCTAGGTACGCTCTGCCTCCTATATGAATAAGTTATCTGTGGGAATAGTTGGCATAATTTTAGATTCAGCTTAAAATCCTTTAGGAGACGTTGGTTACTTTTCCAATCAAAGGCCACCAGGCCAGTGGTCAGGTCCCAGGTAGGAACTATAATATTTGACTACGTGTTCTTACTCCTGATTCCTTGTCAACAAAATCGTGAGACCCCCCAAGATTCAAAGAAGGCTGAAGTCCATTAGAAATAGGCAAACAGAGATTTTTTTTTTTGTGGGGTTTTTCTGGAAGGTGAAGGTAGGATTTATAAAGGAGAAATATACACATCTGAAAACCTACACATCTGACCAAACAGCTGCTCTAGCAGGGAGTGCATGGACTTAGATCATTTTTTCAGAAGCTGGAATGAATTTGCATCAATTCATTCGCCCCCTCATCCTACTTCCTCTGGTAGGAGCCACTGGCTGCCTGGTAGATGTAAACCGTCAAAGCACATGTTGGAGACTCGCTGTATTCCGTCCTGGTGGGCTAGTTCCTCGGATCATCAAGGAACTTACTCTCCATCTCCAACTCAAAGCTTGGCCATGTCGGTCACTTCCCTTTATTTGGGCATCTTTCGCTGTCACAAAAAGTTAAGTCTAGTCTTGGTGACATTAAAGCTGTAACACAAACATACCATAAGCACCACGCAACCGGTCCCTTGGGATTCGATCTCCAGGCGCTGAGATGTGGCCAAGGGTGAACTGGAAGGTGAAGCGCTCCTTGGCTGCAATGACCTTACCGGGGTGGTTTTTAGGTGTTCGAACTCTTCGCCGGAGGAGGGCGCCTTCCCCACCCCGCTCCCCACCCCCCAACCCAGGGGAAGAGAGAATTTCTCGGGACCAGATTGCAGGGTGGGTGTGGACACAGTCCTCTCCGGCGGGCCCCGCCTCCAGGGGGAATGGACCTTTTAGGGGTCGCCCGTGGGGCTCCCCAAAGAGGCAAAGCGCCCCGCGGACCCAGGAGGCCGCCCCCTCGCGGCCCGGACCCGCAGGGGGTCCTGGGCGCCGGGCCCGGGGCCACGCGGGAAGGCGGCCTCCCTCACTGGCCTTTCCTCAGAGGAGACACCCTCCGAGGAGCCTCTTACTTTTCTCGGTGGGAAAACTGCTAAAGACAAAGCAACAGGCAGCTTTCCGCCGGGCGCACGGGGAGCGCCGGTGCCCAGGCGTCAGGGGGACGCCCGGCCTCCCTGCCCCGCCCCCTCTTCCCGGGGAGCCGCCCCCTGGCCCCCTGTCCTCCCTTCCTTCCCCCCTTCTCCCGCAGGGGTCCCTCCCCCGCCCTCTCCCACCCCTTCCTTCCCCTCCAACCCCTCTGATCTCCGGCCTCCCCGGGGCACCGCCCCCCTCCACCCGCTCACCTCCTGACGCTTCTCCCCCTCGGCTCGGCCCCAACCCTTCCTACCCTCTCCGCCCCTCTGCTTCCTACCCGACTCCGTCCCCCCGTCCCCGCAACCCCGGGGTACCAACTCCTCCGCCCCATTACCCATTCTCCCCACCAGTCTTCCCCGCTCCTCCCGGTCCGCTCCTGCCCCGCCCCCTGCGGCGGCCCCGCCCCCACGCCGGCTCCGCCCCTCCCCTAATATACCGGCCCCGCCCCCACGCCGACCCCGCCCCTCCCCTCCGGCCCCGCCCCCTCCGGCCCCGCCCCCCGCCGTCTTCGCGGAGACACGGCCGGGGCCTCGGCAGCCTCCGCTAGGGTGCGCGCCGCTCTCGCCGCCGGGCTCCGCGCCCGCGCCCGTCGGCAGTCCCGGGAGCCCGACCGCAGCGCGCCGCCCGCCCGCCCGCCCGCCCGCAGTCGCGCCCTGAGGCTCCCTCCCCGGCGCGGCGGCGGGCCCGGCGCGGGCGATGGAAGATGGAAGGCAGAGGAGCCGCGGTGAGGGTCCGGCGGGCCGGGGCGCGCGGGGGCGCGCGGCGCTCGCGGGCCGGTGGGGTCGGGCTCGGGCGGCTTTGTCGCTGCTCCGTCGGTGTCCAGGGTCCCGGGGCCACTCGTGTTGGTGCCTGAAGGTCGGGGTCTGGGAGCGCGTTCCCTTTGGCTCCCTCCCTCCCTCCCTCTCTCTCTCTTTGTGTGTGAGAAGCCGGGCAGGGGTAACTTTCCGGCGCGCGGGCTGAGGGGTGCGGAGCCGCCCCCCGCTTTGGAAGCCGGGACTTGGCAGAAAGTCCGGAGGTTCTGAAGCGGGAGAGCGGCGAGGGGGACCCGCTGTGCCCGTTTTGCTCGTGTAGGAAGGGACGATCCCGTTTCTCTGGAAGGAAGAAAAAAAAAAAACACAAACCCACAAACTTGCGTTGGGAGAGAACGGGAGAGGACTGTTCGGTCTGCTGTCCCCGGTAGCTTTCCCAGACGTTTCATTCTTTTTCCCCCGCATGCATGTAACGTTACCCGTTGTTTCCAGCTAGACGGGAGGGCTGGCCAGTGATGTTCTGAGATTGAAAGAAGGAAAATTCGAACGTGTGGAGGACGTGGCTTTAGCATGTTGCCGGCGACCTACATCATACATGTTTCCTTTTACCGCCCCCCTGGATGTTAAGGGTGTTCCACCCCCTGTAAGGAGGCAGAGGATCTAATGGCCAGGACCAATTTCATTTTTCCAGACACAGCGGGATCCAGCATTTCCACTCCGGAATAGCCATCGAGCCGGGCCAGGTGTTGGTGTGGGGGAAGAGGGAGATCTGGAAAATTACTCTTAAGCGGGATTCTGGGAACAAATCAGCTTCAGCTCATTAACCGTCATTGAATATAATAACGTGCAAAGGACTTTGCACAGCCCCACGGCCAGGTGAGCGAGACAGGACGGCCGTCTCCTGTCCAGGAGCGTGCTGTGCTCTCTAGGAGGAGAGACTTGCTGCAAAGGTTAGGATGGAGGAAGCCGGGGAAGCGGAGGTTCTGGCCTAAGGGCTTGGAAGTCCTCGGAGAGGAGCTGGCAGTGGAGCTACATCTTGAAGGAGAGGGTTTGGCTGGCTTTTGGGGAGGGGGGGGGGGGGGGGTGGGGTGGGGGGGAGGATGTTCCCTGCTGGAAAAGAGGACATGCACTTTTCTCTCCTCTTCTGAGAGATACTTTATCATCCTTTCTTTTCTGAGAGTGGTGGTTTTTTTTTTTTTTTTTTTAAACAAATCAAGAGGTATTTTAAAAAGTCAGTGAATTCCTCTTTGGCACTTAAAAAAAATGCAACATACTCAGCAGAATCAGCAGAACTGCAAAATGAACGTACACCTTCCCAACCAATTTTTAGTGGTTGGATGCATGTCCTTCTACAACTTTCTTACATCCTCCACCCACAAATCATGTTTCACATAGAGGGTGTGGGGCCAGAGTAGGTTTACAGTTGTGAATATGCAAAACAGCTTATTGTATTATCGCTTATCGATGACTGCATTATTTTCTGGATGAACAGCTGTAAACCTACTTTTGCCCTACCCTGTATGATTTTTTGTCTGGTTTGGGAAATATTTCACGAATGTATCCTTTTTTTGTGCTCAAAGGAGCAGAGTGGCACCATGGAAAGCTCTTGGACTAGGGGCTTAATCACAGGGAACAACAATAGCCTGTAATTATTGGAATCGACTAGGTTTGGTCACTGACTGGGTAAGTTTTTGCCAGTCTCTTGGGCACATCATTGAACCTCTGCAGCTAAAATATTCTCCTCGACAAGATGAGGGAATTGGGTAGATGAGCTCTTAGGATCTAGCTCGTTAAGGTTTCATGCCTAAACATGTATAGCATTACTTACTCAGGGGTGCATTCTTACTTCACATTCTGAGTATCTCTCAGTTTTGTTTGTTCCGTGAACAGATCAGCACTCTTTCTTTTTGGCCATTGAATGTGGGAAAGTGATTAAAGCTGCAAAGCTAAAATAACCTTATTTGAAGGTGTAATTCCACAGTTGAATGTTTTAAAAAAATGAACATCTGAGTGTCTGTTGGCTTTAAGAAAAGTTTTGTTGGTGCTGTTCGCTTTATTTGTGACCAAATAATAAGACGTGCTTTACAAGGAATATTGTACTGAAGAGGTTCCATTTAGCTTAAATACTAGCCATTAAATACATGGAATACCTTGGAAATCATTATAGGATAGTCAGTCTTGGGAATTTGGAAATAAAAATGAGAGAAGACAGAAAATCAGCTTATTGAAAAAGGAAAATTTGGAGTTACTTTCCATGAACGGCTCTATTTACTTTCTAAAATGTTGATATATTTGTTCGCTAACGCTGATTGAAAATATGTGCATGTGATTTAGCCTGGCATTGCATTGAAAAAAAAAATACATCCAGGGCATCACTATTTTTATTTATTTATTTATTTATTTGTTTATTTTTTAAAATATATTTTATTAATTTTTTTCAGAGAGGAGGAGAGAGGGATAGAGAGCTAGAAACGTCAATGAGAGAAACATCGACCAGCTGCCTCTTGCACACCCCCTACCGGGAATGTGCCCACAACCAATGTACATGCCCTTGACCGGAATCGAACCTGGGACCTTTCAGTGAGCCAAACCAGTTTCAGCGGCATCACTACTTTTTTAGAGGTGGTTTATTTTTCCTTCAGAAACTCTGGAATCATTTGTCACACATTATTCACACACTAAGACCCCAGTGTGTGTGTGGCAAGGGGCTGATCCTAGTCCGTCCAGGTCAAGAAGTACTGGAGCAAAAACCGTGTGAACAGTACTATGTGTGTGTGCTTTGGCCTCCAGACTGGCTTCTTTGAGGTTTACCTGAGGTAATGTTGTCATTGGGCAATTACGAAAAGAACATTTCTCTGGGCTTGGGTTGGATTAGGAGGTGAGTAATGGAATGTGATCCTTCCTAATTTTTAGAAATGAATTCAGACACGATGGAGGTGTAAGCAGTTTGTGAAAAGTTATCCGGTGATCATCAGGAGATGATCAAAATCAGGCTCAGAATGCGAGGATGTGAATTGACCTGACGATGCGAGTCAGGCTCACAGAAGGCTGGGGTCCAGTCTAATCACTGCTACGTTGAGGGTTCTCCACGTTCCGGGTTTCCCCTGCAGTCTGGGTCAGGCAGAGCTGACCCTGGCTTCCCTTTGCTGTGCACGAGTGGAGGTGACTTCTTCCTTATTTTAGGGAAGAATAGGATCCAGATGAAATTGTCCAACAGCATTTGTTCAGAGTGTCCACGTCTCAACAGCTTGTATTGGGTACGTTACTGTAGGCAGGCTCAGAGATTTGCTGGAGAGAACTTCAGCCGGTGGCATTCTTTTTGAGTGTATGCCTTTGTACTTTTCCTGTGTTTCTGAGTTCTAAGATCATCTTCCAAGGACATTTTCCACCCTCTCCAAATTGACCGGTGTTAGTTGCAATGGCAAGTGGCAATGCCAACCACTGTTGCAGGTTATAGTGGCGAAAAAGGATAATTTGCAGCATGCAGTGAACACGTTATACCTAAATCCACATTAAAAAAATTTGCATGCCTTGTTCAAAACTAAAGAGTGACTCAGATAATTAATAACTAATCTTTGCTTGTATTATCTTATTTATATAAAAATAGCACATGAGCCTGCAGTCTTTGTTTTTCACTGGGCCCAGAAGGTCAACAACCTGGGGCCCAGCGGTGCCAAGCGGGCAGGGACTTTGTTGACACTCCAGGGCACAGAGGTGGTGAAGCATTTTCTCTCTGGGGAGGCACCTATGGTGTGAGGGAGTCACCAGCTTCTCTCCCCCATCTTCACATGAGACCCAGGGGCCTGCTTAACTGTGAACAACCATCTAGTTCTAAATTCCTTTTCTCCGGCTATAAATCAGTGAGATGAATAATTTGTACATGTTCATGGATATTTTATTATTTATTTATTTTCATTAAAAAATTATTTTTTCCCTGATTTCAGAGAGGAAAGGAAAGGGAAAGAGAGACAGAAACATCAACAAGGAGAGAGACTCCTTGATTGGCTGCCTCCTGCACGCCCCATACTGGGGATCCAGCTGCAACCCAGCCAGGCATGTGCCCTGACTGGGAATCAAACTATTACCTCTGGGTTCATAGGTTGATTTTGAACCACCAAGCCATGCCAGCTGGGCCATGTTCATGGATATTTTAAAAAGCTCATGACTGGAGTTTGGGATTTAGTGGGAAGATCAATATTTTGACCTAAGCGGTGGGGCACTTTTTTTTTTACATACTATTTTCATGTGGGTTGTCTGGGAGGCATTTTCCTTTAAGTTTAATCTTAAGTCCTAACTTTCGGAGCATGTTTAAGGAATGTTTTCAGGTATGATGCACTGTTACCAGCACACCTAATCTTTATTGAGATCTTATTATGTGCTTTAACACAGATTACCTCCCTCTATTCCCCATGACAACCCCATGAGGTCAGTGCTGTACTCTCTATTCTGAAGTCCAGAGAGAACTGTTGAATATAATAGAATCAGAGGTATGGAAGGGGAGTGAACTGACGATTCTGAGGGAAAAGGGGAGGGGGATGTGGGAAGAGACTGAACGTAAACTGTGCACCTATGGATGAGGACAATGGGGAGTGGGGAAAGTGCAGAGGGTGGGGTGGGAGCCTGGTGGAGGAGAGCAATGGTGGGCGGGGGAGGGGGGGAAGGAACATTTGTAATAATATGAACAATAAAAATTTATTAAAAAAAAAAAAGCTGGCAATAGTAAAGCCATGTTATGAGCCTTAAAGATATTTAACTCATTAAGGCCCCTGAAAATGCCTATAAGAAAAAATAAAATAAAATAAAATAGAATGTAAAGCTAAACTACTTTAACTTCCAATTATATCACCTCCTAGAAGTGATCTTCACTTTCCTACAACTGTAGTTGTTGACCTGGAGAAGGCTGCTTTTCCTTGCTCTCCCCTTCTCCCCCACCCAGAGAGCTGGGACTTTAGTGTAATAGTTGTGAAAAGGAGTC